TACTGAGTGTCTGAGCCGTAGTGAAATTTGCAAGGTCATGTGATCCAAGATGGCTGCCACTGTAGCCAAAACTTGCATCACATAAAAATGGCAGTAGGGGCATCTAAGTATGTGCCAACTCATACTSTGAGCATTTGTAGATCGGGAACGATCTTTCTATATCATGGGGAGATCACGATTTGCTATCTTTTGCCATTTTTTACTCTGCACAGGCGACAAGGGACCTCAGCGATGGATGACGTCAAATTCTATCTTGTTGAGGCCTAAACTGTGAACTTTAAGACCAGTTGTGTTTTAGGTCGTATTCAGACCTGATAATTTGCTCAGCTTTAAARGAACCAGAGTTCGTTTCAAGCYTTGGTCCGGACCTTTTGTGCAGGTGTGAATACACTCATGCGAACTCTGGTGCGGATCAAACYACCGGACCGAGACCTGCTTTTTGAGGTGGTCTCGGTCCGCTTCCAAACGAACGCTGGTGCGGTTCGCTTCAGTTTGCTTCTGGTGTAAATACAGACCGGACTCTAACCGAACCAACTGCATTAAACATGAGCCTTTTTGGACTTCACAGTCCACCGTTGCTGAGCTAAATAAACTGAAAACATACCTGTTTCGTCGTCTCCTGTTAGCAGCTCTACTGCCGGCATGTTGTGGGTCAGAACACGCAGCGCACCTCGTCTCCTTTGGGTTGCGGGACACATTTACTGACGCCGCTCCAAAATTAGAATATCATCACGGAACCACCATTAAATTAGCTGCTTTTGACATTTTAAATGCTATTGCAGTTGTACTATCAGCAAAAATGTGCGCATCAGAACCGCAGCATGCAGGACTTCCTTGTTTTCTTCTGGGTCTGTGGCTCAGTCCCGCCCCCGTCCTTTTTTTGTCCAATGGGAGCAATGATCGTCACACTCGTGGCTTTGTTTACAAGTTATACTGTAGTTCATTTGCAAAAAAAAAAAAAAAAGCACAAATGTGAACGCAAACCGCACCAAAAAAAAAAAAATGGCCATTTTTGGTCCGGACCAAACAATTGGACCAAAGGACTTTCCTGGTCTGAATACACCCTTAGGCTCCAACTGCTAGTTGGCAGCAGTCAGCCAGCCATTTAGCTCCTCCACTCCCAAAGAGCCTGAGAGTATAATACTGGCTCAAACCTTAGTACAGCTTAGCACTAAGTACCGATGGTTGAATCTGAGCAGATTAGAGGTGTGTGTGTAGGGGGCGGGGCACATTTTTGCTACATCATAGGAACCATTTTCCAGAAAAAGGCAGCCACGGGTACGGATGTTAATTTTGGGGGGGTAAGTTTAGGACCAAGGTGTGAATTCAGTTTAGGTTATTTTCAGGGTGTAAGGTTAATTGTAGGGTAAATGGTCAGGGTTAGGCTATAAGATTACCAGAAAATGAATGGAAGTCAATCCTCGGTCCCCACAGGGCTATAAATACAAAGCTGTGTGTGTCTAGGAGGGTGTCATTATAATGCCTTGCTTTCCCTATCACAACAAATCATGGTTTATCTTATCATGACCTCTGTGTTTGGATCGACACTMTAAGCCAGAATCTCCTCCAGCTGTTTACGAAATTTACATAAAGTTACGGACGGACTGGGAGCAGAGATTSTGAAAACYACACACAACAGCTGAAGCTGTAACATCACAACCCACCTCTTCTATAATAAATAGATTTTTTTATAAGTCTTACTCTGACTTCATAAAATAATTGTGGTCACCCCTTGATTCTGCTATTGTTGCTAATGGAAATTAACAAAATTTGCGTAGAATTAAAAAAAAACTGCGGGCACTAAAATGGGCARGGTGCTTTGAGGGCGTCCTGGAGCATTTCCACCCAAAAGAGGATGTTGTAAAACTGAACATGGCATTGTTYGGACGCCCTTCTAGCTAAATGCCTGATTGTGGTATTATATCACCAAATTCATGCCGGTTAGGGATGTCCTGATCCTYTATGATATTGGTCCAATATTAGCCAAAAAATAAGTATCGGATTATATCTGCCTGCATCTAAAATCCCTGATCAGTCCATTCTAATGMTCTGCTCCAGGATTTCTATCCAGCAATTTTATTTTATTGTAGAATGTTCTTATGCAAGTAAAGAAGAATATGGCAGAAACMGGTCGATTTTACTCATACCTACTATTGACCGTTGTTTACTGTTTGATTTGAYCAAGACGTTTTAAGATTTCACACTACAAAACAAGTAATAAAAGTCTGATATCGTATCATATCGGGTTTGTGTCTGCCACAACTCAAGACTGAAATATTGGATAAGAAAAAGTCATATAGTGAAAACCCTTAAAGGGGCAATATCATGTAAAATCAACTTTTTTGAGTTTTATATCATGTTATGTTATACTCTCATAAAAAACATGCCCAAAGCCTTGTTCTGACTCATTCATGCATGTTTGAAAAATCCTGCAGCGTTTTTCGGAAGCCATGCTGAGGAGCAAAACGACAGGTGGGGACCAGAAACGCCCCTGGGACATGTCTTTAAGCCGAACTTGCTCATGGCGGAGCACCCCCCACCACACACACTCACACACACACATAAACACACACCGCCCATGACTCCTGCAGGCTCTCGGGTGAAACTGAAAGTGAAACTGAAACTGTCTGCTGCGCTAACGCTACTTCTCACTCAGTGAAGCTCTTTTCAGATTAAAAATAACTTTGAGGAAATGTAGGAATGTATCTTCAGATGCCAAGTAAACTGTATCATAGCACCCCCCCCTCCCCCGCACTGAAATGGGTGGGACAGAAGCAGAAGGAGGTTCTTAAAGAGACAGAGGCCAATTTCAAGGCGTTTAGAAGACGAAGTGATGAGAAAATAGCCTCATTCACAAAACGTGTCGTTCCGGGCCTAACGCGCGATCTGTCCTCCTTAGAGCAGATCTGGTGAATTAATTATCTGCTGTGCGCAACGTTTTCTTGCTCTTTAGTAAATAAAGCAAAGCCATTTTAACAGTTTTATTTATTTTATCTTATTTCACCCGTCAGACAGTCTGGTCCCGGTCTGGAAAAAAACAGTCACAGAGCGCCTCTAAATTATCTGGTGAATTAATTATCTGATCTGTGCGCAACGTTTGCTTCCTCTTTAAAGCAAAGCTATTTTATTTTATTTTACCTTTATTTCAAACATCAACAGACCGGAAAAAGAACAAAGATGCTCCTCCCACTGTGCGTCTTCAGACGCGTTAGGTGTGAATGGGTATTACTGTTTACACTCACTTCAGCGGTCCRACGTGAAATACGTAAGCAATAAGTAATCGCAGCTGGTTTTTTGTTCCCCCACGCTTCCGAACTTCCCGCTATGTAAAATGGTTTGTGAACGCTCCATTGAGGGCGGGATGTGGCCGGCTTATTCTTTGTTTTATGAAAGAACGGACCGGCATGTAGCCGGGCAGGGTTTGGCGCCATGATCACGGATATGTCTTGTAAAAGCAGCTAATAAGTTTATTTTCTATTTAAACATAAAAATAGCATTTTAATAACAACTAAAGGTGACATAGATTCTTCATTATGGTATAGTATTTAAATGTATGCCTGAGAAACWCATAATATTGCCCGTTTAATGCAAATACATAGCCCTATTTTATCATCATRCCAATGTCTTGGTAACAATGTAAAAYATGCATAAGTTGCTAAATTCAGTTTAATGCTTCTTTTGCTTCCACGTGAAGTTATTTGTAGCTTTGTTTAGCATGATGGGAACATACCCTGAGCCTGTGAGCTGCTTCCTGAAAACAAAACCAGCTTTTCTGGCTTCCCATCAGTCTTTGGTTGACTGACTTTGTAATCATGACACTCTTAGTTTAAAAGCAAGCAAGCTTCCTCCGTCCCTTAATTTATCTGCATTCTTTTAATTAAAGGTCCCTCTTTTTCCTCTTTAGTGTTTTTTTATATGAAACCTCCCTTCTTTATTAGCAGCACTTCAGAGACACCGGCCCTGCAGACACCTGGGCCTCAGGTTCAGTCTGTCATCAGGTTGTGTGACTRGTCTGCCTGCTGCCGAGAAGATCCGGATGTGTTCATCTGGGAAAGAATAATGAAAGAAGTCTGAGGTTCCACTGATGCACTCAGTTTTTGAACTCCTTTGTGCGAGCACCGCCTCACATCCTGGTAGCTTATTAAAATGGAGCGTTGATGGAGATATGGGCTGTTTGTTTGGTCAGCCTCGTTGTTACACAGTATGATTGAGTGAGGCCTTGTTTACACTGAGTGGTCAGGAAGGGCAGGCTGATTTCCGGCAAGATGGGAGGGCTAGCCGCTTCATTTTCTCCCGTCCCTTCCTGTGGACATGTTTCTGCTGTAAAARTGAGCATTTATGCAACTGTTTTGGGAGTCTCTCTGCTGCTGTTATTGGTGTGTGTATATCAGTGTTTGTAACATCCTTGCCGTTCTGTGTGCATCCACAGTTAGCCTAGGAGCACTCTGTGCAGAGAGGTAGTTATAAATGACCTGGTAGTGGTTGTTGACCTTCCAAATCTGGAGGGGTTTAAGTCATTTCTCGTCACTAAAAGCYTTCAAACTAATGTCAAGTAGCTGTTTCTGGTACGCTCTCTTGTTCATGTCTCCAGTTTGAACCTGCTTTCTGCTCTTTCCCTCTCATTATGTTGAGAGAAAATGCCAAAGGMTTGCCAGTATTTAGTTTTATTTATRWTTATTTTTACTTATCTGATGACGCAAYCGTTGAGTGGGGATGTCTACGATTTCAGCAAAAGGACTCGATTCTGATCTGGGATGATAGCGGAGCTGGAACATCGTTTCTGTTTACAAAGGCACTGTAGGGCCAATAAAAAAAGTGTGCTGTTTATTGATGCGATTTAACATGCAGAGTGGGTTTCACTCTTGACTGTGATGAATGGGGAATACAAGCGTCATCTTTGCAATCTTCTGTTTGTGCCTGTAATAAAAAAAATATCTGTTGGTTTTATCACAGGGGAAAACGCTGGAGAGAAAGAAGTCTTGGCTGCAAATGTAACAAAGACYGGTCTTAAACTCTCAGGTCAGGAGGTCTAACCGATTTGCTTTAGGCCAGGAAACCATTTACTGACTGGAAAGTACAGACAAAGGSTGCTGTCCCAGTCCATCACTCACTCTTCTGCCTGATTCACTAAAAACATTTAATTCATCAGTCAATACTCAACCATTATTACTTAAATATATTTTACACTCAACACAGCTGATATACATTTTTCCCTACCTGTGAAGTGCATTTTTGTAATAAAAGCAGGTTGGAGCAATCTGATTGATTTTATTTATTTATTGCTGGTGTTTTGGAGCAGCTTTCCTCAGATACTTCACACTCTCTGACCCTTGGATAGATGCAGATTGAGAAACCAGCAACCTGAATACCAATCCAATAACCCAGAGGCAGCGTTGTTAGCAGAAAAGCTCTAAAAATCTTTTGTTCTTTGATCATCGCAGAGRAGAGTGCACTGCTGCGTGAGGTGCAACACTGGCACGAAACACCGTCTCACAACAGCTTTCCAGGTAAAAGTAAGCACAGGAGGGAGAAAAGTTTTTTTTTTGTTCAGCTTGAAAATTTCAGCTTTTTCAGCTTCTTTTTTTCAAAGTGGCTTAAGGTGCAAATAAATATATTGATGTTTTTAAAAGTTTCAGCATTTTCCCTGGAATGGACTAACTATTAAATTATTTCCTGCTTCTGGAAACATGAGTCTATCCTAGTTTGGAAAGACTCATGCCCCCCAGCAGCCATTGAAGGATGAAAAAAAATAGTGTTAATATTTAGTTTGTTCTTAGTTGTTTCCTTTAATAAATGCATTACCAAACTTTTGTTTAAGTTTAAAACCGTTGAGTCTGCAAGACTTTCTAATTGCCCATTCAAAGCTGAAACTTCCCGTTTATGTTTTTACACATAACTCATTTTTGTGCCAATTATTATATTAATTATTTATAAAAAAAATCTACTTTGACAGTGTTTTGTCTTGTTTAATCAGCAGTCTGAGACCAAGATAAGATAAAAAGCAAACACATCCCCTTACACCAGGGCTGTTCAACTGGCTGCCTGCCATTTTTTTAATTACTAAATTTAATCTAAAAATAGATTTTAAATCAATTAAAATCTCCCATTGTCTGCCCCCTGAGGCGTCGGCTTTGAGTAACTGTGGCCCCTGGAGCACTTTAGTTGGATAGCCCTGCCTTACACACAACTATGTGGAATTAAATTTAATCAAGGAAAAAAAGCATACTAGCACAAATTATTATTATTATTATTATTATTATTATTATTATTATTATTATTATTATTATTTAGCTGTTTGAACTACATGTCTTATCATTTAAAACATCCAACTTAATAAAGTTTGATTCAAGCACAAGTTTAACAACAAGAACAAAGTTTGGAACAATGTTCAGCATACTCAGTATTCAAGCAGATTTGCATTTTTCTTTGAACCAGAGAGGATTTAAAGCTCAAAAGCCAGTTTAAACATAAACACTGTCACATTATACAAGAATTTGCAATGACTGCCTGCAGGGCGTCTCAGTGAAACTGTTCGTGTCAACCTAAAAGAATCCCGTTTTGACTGCACAGAGCACACAAAAAATAGAAAATTATTGGTAAAGATTACTGTTTTCATCCACATGAATGCATGTCTATAATAGTGACAACTGACAGAAAAGAAGCATGTAGCCAGGCAGAAAAGAGTTTCACAAAGTGTATGTTTTTAACAAACACTCACTTTATTTGACTTTTCTAGAAAACGTTTTGTATTATTTGAGGCCTTTCTGAGAATTTCTGATTTTCATTAATGTGATCTGCTTAAAATTTCCAAAAGTTTTATCTGATGTAGTCTTGTGTTCATGTTTTCTCAATAATGTCATGCCTGGATGTATGCACACAGCTAAAAAAGAAGCTTTCTTTCAGTACTAGAACTACATTACTAATATGAGGAAAAATAAAAACCAACTTATTCTATAATCATAAAAAATGCCAGTGTTCCTCCAGCAGCCCTATTGGAGCATGTAAGCAACCAAGTTGGTTTTTGTGGGGAAAAGAAAAGGAGGGCTTAAACAGTAAATTGTCAGCAGAGCAGCATGTTTTCTCTCTGCTTTATTTATCTCAGAGGGCGTCATCTGCTTGAAGTCTGTTGTTCCCATTTAGTGTGATTGAGAGATAATGTGATTTCCACTGTTTGTCCTGTGGCTGCTCCTTCCTAAATGAGACATTCAGGCCTGCTAACTGGGTTGCAGGGCAGATACCATCCACTAGGAGCCATTTGTCTGCTTAATTACCGGAATACGTGTATAATAGTCTGTGCTTGTCTATTACTGAACAACTGTGCAGCCCCTGATAGTGCTCTACATTTATTTAGTTTGGTTTTTTTCTTACGGTTAAACAAGGGTGATTTGCAAACAGAATGATGATCAATGAGTTTGAAGCCGGTCGGTTTTCTCTGCATTTGGCCTCAGATCTCCTAAAGTCTTTAACCTTCGGGTCGTGCTGCTGTCTGTCCATGTCACTGACTTTAAATGATGCAGACACTCGTCCTGCCGCAGCTCTCCTCCCCCCAGACAGTAGCATATACACAGGACAAATTAAGCACACAAAAGACACATCAATACCTCATTCTAGAAATGAACCCTAAGTCATGTTTGACAGTTTGTGTGCTAGCCTGGGAGTGATCTCTTGTGTGTACGTATTGAATGGCCTAGTTTTAGAGTATTGACAGGAAGTGAAAAGTTATGAACGTCTTAAACACAAATTATCCAGGAAGTCAATGTTTTCCTTGTGAGCTTGTTCTGCTGTTTTTGTCATGTGTTTTAAACTAACGGTCGCCCCGATGGGGCTTCTGTTTTTTGTGCTAACTGAGCTGAAAAAACTAAATGGATGAATGTCCTGATGCATCTCAGTAATCCAGGTAAAAAATCAAAAAGAAAAAAAAATTGTATAGGTCTTCTGGACGGGTTCTTCTCTAATGAAGTTAGAAGTAGTTAGTAAGTTATTCCTTATGTTGCGCATGTTTCGGAGAAACTGAGACATTTATTTTCTAAACATGATGTCCCAGTGGCTTTCAAACCCAAAAACACATTAC